GTGACGAGGGGTTTTCTTTATTCAATTTGCACTTAATTCTTTCCAAAATGGATGGATTTGTATCACAGACACCCCCTGGTTATTTATAAGAGATACTGTGCCAGTGTTGTTCTATCAGCTGACCCTCTTTTTGTGACATAACAACTGAACCTGAGCTGTGACTGTGATGGACACTAAGACATGTTTTAGGTGTCCGATATGTGTGTACCTGCCCAAGGACTGCCGATGGAAATGAGCTTTAATCTGGCATATAGCATCTTGAATGTCTTTTATACACACGTTCCTTGTTCAATAAAGACATAACAATAATAGTCTCTCTAAAGATTACAGTGCCAGTCAATGTTGTTTTGGATGCAGTGAAGACAGAGAGGTGAGTAATGAGGTCCTGGTGTGGGATCAAAGTGTGATTCTCCCCATGATTCCCTAGTCTAGTGTGTCAGATCTGCTGCCTTAATAGCTTGTGTACCCACTAATTCACACTCACATACACACACTTAAATCACCATTAGTAGGCAGCGTTTGATGTATTTTTAATGGCTAGCTTCTAGGTTGTGCATACACTAAAATAACAAGGGTCAAATGTCATCGCTGGTTTGTAGGATCGTGATGAAACATGAATTAACGTGTTTGAATGTCACCATGACTGCAAAGAAGTGGGATGCAGTAGTAACACGACCTGCATACATTACGGACTGTTACATAGCACCAATGCACATATCAACCTCAAACAGAGAGTGTGTTCTTACGGAGAAAGAAGAGGAGATGAGCACTGTGCAGCTCTGAGGCTCCCGCTTCATTATTCAGCTGGCAGATTTAAAATCCCAAACCGTGAACAATGGACTCCCTCCAATGAGCCGATGTCTCTTTTGTTCTCTCCCCCAAATAATTATGTTAAGAGCCGACTAAAAGCCTGTCCCTTCTCTTTAGGACTGAAGTTATATGGAGTAGGGTCAGTGTGAAGTGGTTTCATTCATGAATGTGAAGAACATCATTTTCTCAGTGGGTGTTGATAAGTGGTCTATCTTTTCTATCGGGTTTGTTGATACAAGCCACCTGAAGTTGGATTACACAATATTTAATGTTTTGAAATATATAAAGATGACATACGCCAAGGTGGACTTACATTTTCCTAAAAGAAAGGGAATTGTGTGCCAACCCTTTATTTACCCATATTCTTTAGTAAGTGACTGAAGTGAAAACTTGATTATTGGAGCGAGTTGGAAAAGGAAAGTCAGGAAATGTTATTCAGCTCGAATCAGGGCTGTGATCTTGTTATATTTGCAGCATAATAGATACGGCACACCAGATAATAAGGGTTGCTATTTAACAAGAGAGAAGCAGTGAGTGGGATGTGAAAAGCGTTCCACAGAGATGGCTATGAACCGCAGCCACCTCGTTGGCAGAGTTTGATTTAGTTTTCTACAATCAAGAGATATCAGGAAGTATTTTCCTGCTGAATAACATTTGACACTTGATTATCCCCAGAATTACCAACAGAGTATTCTTCCTCATAACATGTATTATATTCATGAAAGTTAAAGTCAATCCTTCTAGTATCCAACACAACCCCCTGTATGCGTGAAAGGTAACAGGAAATTGTTTGTTTCTTGCTTTTTCCCAAACAGCAGCGGATCTTGTTAGCTTTTATTTACGTCACTTAAAAAAGAGGTTCCTTTGGTGACATGTTTTCACAGCAGGTAGCAACACATCTCATCCTGCAGTATAGGAAGCAGACGGACACAACAAACACTCACACAAATCTCACCATATTATGCCATCTATTTATATGAATCTATACATGTATTTATTCAAGAGAAGAGTTTTGTGAACATTTAGAGAAGCATACTTATTTACTTGGAGTAAGATGAATGAATGATACCTTTTTAAGTCTGTATACGCTAAATACTGTATGAAGCCTGAAGCAGCTGGGTAGCTTAGCTTAGCATATTGACTGGAAACAGAGGAAACCGGCTGGCATGTCTCTATCTGAAGCACATCTAAAGCTAATTTATTAACAGGGTTGTATCTCGTTTGTTTAATCCGTACAAACACTTGTTTTAAAGTGGCTTGTGAGTGACTGTTTCTTGGCTTGAGAAAAACGTGTGAAGAGGCCAGGCACCAAGCAGAGAAAAAACTGTTTTACAGAATATTAAACTACTCCTTTTAATAAAAACGATATCAAAACGTGGCTCCCGTCGGTAGTAACTCTCAGAGGACTCCAGTGTAGTAACTAATGGGTTGGCCCACTAGTTGCAGGTAATCTAAGCCCTCCAGCGGCACAGCGGCAGAGAAGAGGCTTTTAGCCATGCACTGCAGTAGTAGCTGCTCACATTGAACTACTTTAAGCACAAGGGCTTTGGTAGCAAAATAGGTTTCCTGTTGTGAGCTAAAAAACACTTATGCATGTTTTTAGAGAATGTGTCAGGAGAGCAGGCAAGTCATTTTGCTTTCAACATTGAGCAATGAGAACAGGGGGTTGGACTTTGGATGGCAAATGTTTGTTTTCCATGAGGCTGCTCTTCAGTTGCTTTTAGTATGTGGATTTTCATGCCTTTTTGCACAAAGACACCCATTGATGCATATTGTAAACGATTAGGAAACTAGATTTGATTGTAAAGAAATACCTGAAATACACATCATTTATTCCTGCAGTGCATGGAAGGACAGAAAATAAGTGCCTGCATGAATATCACTTCTCCATGAAAAGACTATTAAAGCGAAACGTCTTCCTCTCCATGTCCTCCTCCTCCTCCAGCTCCACGCACATTAGCTTCAGCTCTGTAAGGTTTCCCAGGTGGTTCCTTCTTTTCATCTGGTAATAATTCTCGAAGCTTGGAAGTCATTAATATGGCTGTCAGCAGGAGGAGACATGCTCGTGCTTCCCCATCTCACCTACATTGTTAAGCGTAAAGAAATTGCAATGACGCCCAAGGACTGTCTTAGTTCATTAAAAGTCTTCACACACTGGTTATAAATGATTAGTACCAGTGCTAACATGATTTGTGAATGTGAATGGAGCCTTTTTACCGAGTCACAGTGAGTGCTCTCTTGTATCCGACACCAGGAGCGTTGATGTTGCCAAACGGTCACAGGTGCAGGATGTGAGGCGGCAGCAGCAGCGTTTTTTGGCTCTTCTCAAAGACGGCTTTGATTTCACTTCCTGAGGCAGGTGCTCCGAGGTTTCCTGTTTCTCTGTCTTGGACCAATGAGAGATGTTTCTTGTCCTCGTTCGGAGGCTAGTTCGGCTTGAATGTCGCTTTTTCTTCAAGGAATTCCACCTCTGAAGAATAGGTGAAGGGGGAGCGATAAAAAAAGAGTGACAGGAGAAAAGGGAAGCAGAGGTAAAAGAGAGGGTGAATCTGTCCTTTTAAAAGTGCCCTTCCATTCCACCCACCTGAGTGTGCTCCCCAGACAACAACTTGTGAATTTCACGCAATTAACCAGGCTGTGATATAAGTGAATTAATGACATGCATTTGGCTCGGAGGGGGAAAAAAGATAACAAGCATCAAGAGGGAAGCAGAGGACTGTTTAATGTCATGGAATATCCAGCAGCTGCTGTGCTGTACAGAAATAGAAGAAAGTGAAGAAGACAAAGGTAGAGAGAATACATTAAATGTAAATAAAGCCTATGTTGTATTTTCGGAAAGATAGCTGGAGGCGGGTTTCAGCTTTAAGCAGATGTCTGGTAAACAGCCTCTCATGAAAAGGTAGAGAAAATCAAGACATAGCAGGAGATGCAGAGGAGAGGAACAGGATATGTTGTCTTTGAGGAAATTAGAGCTTCTGTGAATAACTACACTGAACCTTATTCTTTATCTTGATGCGTGGGTGAGGAGCCAGAGGATTATAGAGTGTGGCAGGGAGATAGATGAAAGGAGAGAATGCAGCAGCAGAGAGGAGATTGACAGGAGGGTTCATGTGTGATTCACCTCTTTATCAACACGCAGCCACGCCACATTACACCGGCAGCAGGCAATTTAACGTTTTCACTTAAAACGCTTCATACCTGAAAGCTCCTAATAACTTAATCGGGCTTCTTGAAGAAATTGGTACAATCTGGTTTAATGGACAACATGTACCATGCCATTTTACTCAATATGTTCCCCTCTAAAACCTTTTAAAACCTGACGTTAATCAGTAGCTAATGCTAATGCTGTTTTTTTTATGGAGTAACATTTGAATAGGAAGACATGACATTTTTGTGGAAACTAAGTCAGTATGTTATTTAAATGCATTAAATAGCATACTGACGTACAGTACATTTAAATTGGAAGAAGAAGAGGTTTGACCATGTAGTATTTTCAGTACATGTAATCGACTAGTCAAATTGTGCACGTCCCTAACATGTACTGTGTTTTCAAATGAAAAAGAAAGAAATGTTGCACATCGATCTCCTTTTTGCACTTCATACGCCTGAATGTGTAATTGTCTTGACAGAATAAAACAAAATAATATCTAAAAGGATGATTTTTAGAAAGCTCGCTAATGTCACAAATCGTTGTTCTCACTAAAATCATTTCTCAGTAACCTAGGGCAACATTTATTTTTGGTAATTTACTCTGTGGGAATAGACATGCGTAACATGTATACATTCTCTCAATAATGATTTTAAACAATTCTGTTAAAAATACAAGAGAACAATTTTTCATGAGAATAAAAATCTATTGATTGATTTTATTACATATAAATGTATCTCTTCCTTTTTTTCTATTTCTTATTGATGCCTCTTAATTTGGGAATTTGTACAGTTTGTGTCTCTGTTTGACTATGTAGGTATTTTTTGATATTTAACTTTTATTCCTCGGGATTGTGAGAAACAGCATTTCGATCTCCCTATCTGTATCTCACACAGAAGATTGACAATAAAGACTTTGAAATGTATGCTTTTATGTATGTCGGTTTTTTTCACTTTAATCCCTGACCCAATATTGCTAGTCTCTGATGCTAACCAACAATACCCCTTGTCTCTCTCTCTCACCCCCTCATCCTCCCTTGCAGCCATGAAGTCGGACCGTAAGCGTCTGAAGGCGGAGAAAGCAGACCTGGTGAACCAGATGCAGCAGCTTTACGCCACACTGGAAAGCCGGGAGGAGCAGCTCCGCGACTTCATCCGCAACTATGAGCAGCACAGAAAAGTATGGCAACTGTGTTCTGACCATAACAGGCACACACAAGCGCAAACACAAAAACAACCATAAAATAGTACCTTCTGGTTTAGCTAGCTGTGATGGATCGATGCACATTGGCACAGAAGGCCTCTTTCAGCACTAAGCAATCACTAGTTTCACAAATAGTCCTTAAAATATAATATGTGTGCATGCAGTGTACAGTATGTTTTGGGTAAAATAATAGAAAAAGCGGTTTTCTATGAGCTCAACATCTTCCTGTCATTAAAAAACTGTTTTTGATACTCTCTAATCTGGATTCCAGCCACATCATAGCACTGCACTTATAAAGGTTTTAAATTACACTTATTTAAATACCGACAATGGCAAAATCACCATCTTAATCCTACTGTACCTCAGTGCAGCGATCAATACAGTTGACCTTAAAAGTAATCGTAAAAATGGGCTGGATTATCTGGCAAAGCATGTGATGCATTTGAATCACATATATATACATATATCACTTTAAGTCGTGAAAAATACCCATGACAGGTGGAGTTCCCCAAGGGTCCATTCTTGGTCCAGTTGTTTTCAATGTTTACATACTTCCATACATACATACACATATCCTGAGAAAAAACCTTTCATACCATAACTACGTGGATGACACTCAGATCTACATTACAATTAACCCTGACGATTATGGACCATTACATTTCTTACAATGAAATAGCAACAAAACAGAAACAATTATTTTCGGTGCCACGGACTAATGTCACCACTCAACTCGAAGCCCTACTGTTCGAGACATCGGACCGTGTCAGAAAACCTCGTTCATTTAGCAGCTTCGATATTTGTTTATATTAATGATACGCTTGATATGTGAACCAATCCATCAGGATGTGTGTGTTTACTAGGAGAGCGAGGATGCGGTGAAAGCCCTGGCCAAAGAGAAGGACCTGCTGGAGAGAGAGAAGTGGGACCTGCGGCGGCAGACCAAGGAAGCCACGGAGCACACGGGGCTGCTGCGATCCCAACTCGACCTCAAGGAGAACCGCATCAAGGAGCTGGAGGCTGAGCTGGCCATGGTGAGACACACACACACACACACACTCACACTCACACACACACACTCACACACACACACACTCACACTCACACACTCACACACTCACACACTCACACACTCACACACTCTCTCTCTCTCTCTCTCTCTCTCTCTCTCTCACACACACACACACACACACACACACACACACACACACACTCACACTCACACTCACACACTCACACACTCACACACACTCTCTCTCTCTCTCTCTCTCTCTCTCTCTCTCTCTCTCTCTCACTCTCTCTCTCTCTCTCTCTCTCTCTCTCTCTCTCACACACACACACACACAAACAGACCATTTACACACAGGTCGAGAGACTCTGCGTTTCTTTGTCATCGTTAACTCAGACTTTCTCTGTTTATAAGATATTTACAGCAAACATTAGCAGAACATACATATACAAATAAGGGCTGCACAATATATCATTTTAAAATAAATGTTAAAGAGTTATTTGAAATACAGTATCACTAGAAAACAACACTAACATGTAACCATTTGTTGTTGTTTTATATTGGGGATTTTTGTATTCAGTTTAATGTTAAAGGTCCCATGACATGCTTTTCCGGTTATTACCCATCCCCTTGTTATGTAGCTTTTTCTGCATGTAAAAGGTCTGCAGTGTCACGAACCCTCAAAGTACACCCTGTAGCGAGTAAAACTCTAACACAGAAAATAAATGCTAGGTTTCATTATTGTTTCATTGAAGTATGTCTGTCTATCACTATTGGACCAATTTTCAGTGTATTGCATATAACCAAACAGAAAAAACTTAAATATACACTATAGCTTGCATCATGTCTCCACCACCTCCCCAGATGAGTAACTGTGTCAATCAGAGAACGGAGTTCCGGGTGTTTGAGCGTGTGTCGGACAGGGACTACTCTCCTAGGGTCAACGCGGTAAGATGGGCCCTCAACTTTGAAATGTGACCTTTCTTGACCCTCAACTCCCTGGGAATCTCTCCTGCTGGTGACCTAATGTGATTTTTATGGAAAGCTCCCCCCCTCTTCCTTGCTGCACGTGTTCGACTAACCCCCAGCCGCCCCTGACTGACCCCAGTGATCCTTACATCAGTGATCCCACCAGTTCCTGCTGTGTTTGATCTGAATGTCCTTTTTTTTAATTGAGCGAGGAAGTGCTTTGGGGGAGAAATATTCTGATGACTAATCATTACTCCTGAGGTCTGTGATTGTATTCTGTTTTGCATGTCAAAGAGTGTGATTGATAATCGTTTGACCGCTGGTGGGGAGAGATGATTGCCACGTAGCTGATTGCTTCGGTGTTGATTTGCAGAATGCCGCCGCTTGGCATGGTGATAAGATTTGCACAATAACAAGGTTTCAAGCATTTGTGAAACACTGACATACAAAGTGTAATCAGAAACAAAGGTTTTGACTGACACAAAATACACCTGCACAAACACATCTCTCAGAACTCTGGCAGCTCATTGTGTTCTCTGCCAAGAGATTAGTGCCAAAGCTAAAGAAAATGTTCCTTATTTCCATTTTCGAATCTCTGAGAAGTGAAACGCTAAAATCCTCCTCCAGATATTCTTCCCTTTCCTTCTCTGCGCTCTATGGAGGGGTAAGAAGAGATTTCACACAACAAACGGCTAACATGAAATCAGCTGCATTTTTCATGAGACAACATCCCATGAGGAGCCCAGGGGAGAGCTCACACGTCTCCATGCACTCAGAGACTTAGTACCAGGATTCTGGATACATACACACACATTCACGTGTGCGCACACATATGACAGATAAATAAAAACAACAATAACTGTGACAGCGCCAAAATCCCAGCATCATTTCTCTACTTGATGTTTTTCTTCCATCTGTCTGTGTACCCTCTGAAGGCCAAACAGTCTCTAGCCACTCTGACCAAGGACGTGCCAAAGCGTCACTCTCTGGCCATGCCCACGGAAACGGTTGTCAACGGCAACAACCAGGAGTGGGTGATGCACGCTGATCTTCCCCTGACGGCTGCCATCAGACAGAGTCAGCAGACCCTCTACGTCCACACGGGGCATGCCACTGACAGACAAGGTAGGAACAACATGAGCACATGTACCGTTACACCTGCCTGGTCTCCAGAAAAAATCCTTTACTTAACATCAAAACTGTGTTGTCAGTTACGATTTCGAGGGAGATTGACCTTTTCCTGGGTTAAGTTTGGCAAACAACTTTCTAATGAGTCCACAGAAGTGTGTGCATTGAGGAGGTCCGAGTGTATGGGTGGGGAAACAACACAATAGACCGCTCTCTGTGTCCCATGTTGAACCAAATATCAATGTTGACTTATTTAAATGTATGTCTACAAACAAAACAAGTAATTTTCTTGCCTAAACACAAAATATGAAGTCTTTCTTTTTTTTTTACAACATTAACCAGGTGTTAAATACCGCAACCCTAATCTGAGATAAATACTTTTCCCTTGAAGCGTTATTGAGAATGCAGTTTAGTTGTGTTATTTGTAGGAGACTGGGTTGGTAACACACACAGTGACTGTACCATCATTAACCTCTGCATGCTCATGGGAAGCTGCTTCGCACTCATTCACTCCTCTGCTCATCTGCTCAGAGCGAACACATTACATTTCATGCGATGTATATGTTCAGATACAGCTCACATAACTGTAGCTGAATAAATGTTTCCTCTGTATTTAATAAAGGTGGCAGCTGACGATCAGCTGGGTGTTGAGTCCTGTGTCTGTCTGGTTAAATGTCATTATTTAACTGTTTTAATATTTGTCTACATTTTGCACCTTTTTGTACCTGACACTTGTTGGCCCTTATTCCACTTTCCAGGCTTCCTTCAACATTAGATACTTTAGGATCACCTTTTTACTGACTACAAAAATTGGTCCATATTTCCAAATGTAAAGGATAAAAAAAAAAAAATGTCGATAGTGCGGAGGTGACTTTATAGTGAAATAATAATGATCCCGTCAGATTTAATATCTAAGTGTCATTTGTTGTGGTATTCCGATACAAATACTAATTACCTGTTAAGAAATGTATTCACCTAATTAGTCACCTAATCCGATCTTTAGTAACCTAATTAATGTTCTGACATGTGAACCTGTGTTGACATGTGGTGTAAAATGTTCTTTGCACAAATGTTTACTATAACATTGTCATTGTAATCCAGCTCACAATCCCCATTTTTAGTAAATGTAACAGTAATCTGATTACATTGGCCTGAGAGGGTTAACAACACTTAAAAAAACATGAAACTAAACATATCTAATCTGGCCCCTGCAGTTCCACTCAAATCACTTCTTTCCAGAGTAACGACCCTCTCATCCTCCCTTACCTTGTGTCAGCCGCGGGTTCAGACAGGTTGCTCACTAATTGTTGACGTCTGTAGGAAGAGGCAGACAAAGTTACAAAACAGGAAAAAGTGTGATCAGTCACGAACCCCCAAATTGCCATGCAGTCTGCTGTACTGTACCGTATCATTGATGGCACACACACACAAACACACACTCTCAACCTCTGTGAAGCTGTTTTCCCTGTTGCTTAGCAACTGCAGATGATTGCAAATAATTTCAGGCTTCTGGTCAGGGGCTTTTAAAATATATTTTCATTCAAGGGTGTTGTTGAGAAGAATCAGATGTTTCCTGTTCACTGCTGTTGGTTCCCAAACACGGCCCGAAAGAAAACAAGTGTTCTGTGTTCTCCCTCTCGTCTCGTCTAGTGGCGGCCGTGCGGGTCAGCCCGTGCCACTCGCGCCATTCCTCCATCATCTCCGACGCCTCGGCGCTGGAGGGGGACCGGTCGTCCACGCCCAGCGACATCAACTCCCCACGCCACCGGACTCACTCCCTCTGCAATGTAAGAGCTGCTTCACAAGTATTCACCCGCTTTGTAGCAACATGCCGAGTGTCCCGCTCCCTGGCTGCTCTCGCTTTCCTCCAACCAGATCATCCCGCAGTCTGTCTGCAGCTGTGAATATATGTTAAAACCAGCTGTGGTTGTTGCATAAGTGCATGCCTGGCAGCATGTCAAGTAACACTTCCCCTCTGTGCTGTGATCTTTATCTTTAGTGGTCATTATCGCCCACTCCGCACCACTTCACTGACTTCTCCGCTCGTGTTTCCCTCTGTTCCTTCTCTTCATCTGCTCCGCTCCCTCTTTCTTTCACTTCCCGCAGTCCCTAGAAGATCTGGAGGAGGCGAAGCGAAAGAAGAAGAAAGAGAAGATAGGCCTGGGCTCTCTCTCGCGTGTCTTCGCCCGGGGGAAGCAGCGCAAGTCCCTCGACCCTGGTTTGTTTGATGGTACTTCCACGCCTGATTATTACATAGAGGAAGATGCAGACTGGTAAAGCACACATGTCCGAGCGAGGCACCTGGAGAGCCTTTGTGGCCATTATCAGAGGACTGCATTGTGTTGTGTGAGAGAGGATGGGTGTGTGTTTGATGTCAGTGTGTACAGACATGATAATGTGTGCACTTTCACACGCATGCATACATACTGTATGTGTGTGCATGCGTGTGGTGTCCATGGTCAGAGGACATGTCAGAAGCTGGAGGCAGGTCTTGCTTCGCTGAAGTGTAAACCTTTACGAGCAAATTGCACCTGTATGTATGTCCAGTCCTGTAAATAGTGTGACACAGCGACCATGTGGATATGTTCTATTGTATCTGCCCTCCAAAAAACAGCTGTGTTATTGGATCTTTTAATTGTTCTCTACATTTTGACTTTTTGTTTTCACTCAACTGGAAACTTGAAGGACTGCTGTACTTGTAAATAACAACAATTGACGTGCGTGTAAATGTCTCCTTGTCCTGAATGCCTTTTTTGTTATTTTTTTTACATGTACCCCCCCTCTCACTACATTCTAACTTGAACTCCTCCCTGTTTATTGTCCTGCCTGGTCCATCCCCCTTCCTTCCACACTGCCATGATGAGAACAGTTTCCTGTCGGCAACATGCAGACTCCTCAAATCGGCCTCTAATTCGGTTGTACAACACATCCCTTTACCGCCATGAAAAGTGTGCAATCCTTGATGTTCGCTCAAATTAAACTTCAAAGGCGCTGCTAAGCAAGGAATAAGCAAGGAATAAACGTTCTATGCAGAACAGTTTGTTCCGTGGCAACATGAAGCCAAACAGGAAATAGAAATGTGTTTTCTGCCTGCTGAGATAGAAAGTACATGTGTGACATGCATGCACATAGTCCCAGTCCCCGAATGCATGTTGAGCAAACCCTACTAAACAGACATGTCTTTCTTGAGTATGTTGTGGAGGAGTAAAAAAGAAAAAAGAGACAGGTCAGTTACTGATTTAGTCATGTTTTTTTCATCATTTTCTCTCAAATTAGATACGGGGAAACATTCTGATTAATGTTCAAGAGCTAAACATAGGATATTTCTTTCCGCACCACAAGGCTGCTTATGCTAAAATGTATTTGAAATATTAAAGGTCAGCAAAGTCAACAGTCACAAAGAAAACACAGTGCTAAACTTTAAAAGATTAAATAATTATGTCACTTATTCATGAGATGTTGTGCCATTGCTTTCTACAGTAACTTGTAGCTATGGTTTTATTAATATAAGAATGAAATGCTTTTGGGAGTAGAGTTTAAAAAAAAGAACCCATAGTATAAGTAAGCATTAACATCACTTATTCTATCACAGCAGATAATAAAAGGATGGTCAAGGCTTTTCAAACCTCAGGAATTAGCTATTTCCACCAGAAAATCTGAATTTCAATTGAGTGGCGTGAGCAGACATTAAATGAACTGTTATAACAATAACAAGTGCCGACCCAGGAGGTTAAAAATCAGATTTAAGCGGGCTAATCAAACTGAAGCAAATGCATACATGACCCCCTAAATTCTGATTCCGAGTTCAGGCCGTTGCTGCAAAAAGCAATTAACTCTGTGCCAAAGGTTAATAGTGTTTCTTCAGGCAAAAGAATGACTACAGACGCTGGATTATTTTCCATCCTTTCATTGGATTGAGCCGGAGTCTGCACTGCCACCCCCAGGAAATCATTTCTCTCCCTGATATTAAACTAACACTGGGTATTTGTCAGTCTCATCTGAAACACTAGAGAGTCACAGATTACATCGGGGCTGTATTTAAACACAGTGCTTGTCAAAAAAGCGCCTATGTAAGCAGTGAGGAGATTATCATTTAACTCTTAGCTCAACCCACATTTGACCCGGCAGATATTGGATTTAGACGTAAATCACTAAGGTAATTTATAGATTAATTAATCATGTATTAAATGTATGTATAGGAATAACAGCTTTCAGACATTAAGCATTGAATGAAATGTATGAAAATCTAGGCTATTTTTATTTTTTCATTTAACTGACCCCTGCTGACGGGGGAAAAACATATCAAATGAAAACATTGTATTATTTTTATGTTATGAGCCACGGTATCTGTTTATTTTTATTTTACAGAAATATTTTACTTTTTGTAAATGAGATAACATTACAGAAATAAAATTAATATTATTATTAAAGAGTTTTTATTTAAAGTCAAAGATGTAGGCCTCGGTGGAGGACTTCTATTGTGAGGTCCTGAGATGTTTAGAAGTGGATAGTAGCAAACTTTTAAGGCATGGCAACAAAATTACCCTCTAAAGAACTAAATGAGAAAATAAGATTATTTTAAAATAAAAGAAGTAACGTTGAACTTTCATGTGGCTGTCCTCTCTTTCCCTGCGTTAATGTATGTGTGTTCATTTGTCCTGGTATGGCTCTAATCCTGATCTGTCCCTTGATGCTGGAGGTGGCGGCCATTTCTAACAGTGCTCGCCTCCCTCAGCCCTGCAAGTCCATCTGTGAGAGGACTGCATCCCAAACGCTTCATCGTGGCCTCCTTTCCTCACTTTCCCATTTTTAACTCCTTGGTCGACCTGAAATCTCATTGCTTTCTCATCGATATTAAAATCACTGATCAGAACAAAGAGGAGTGGGGAAAGGACGCAATTTCAGATTGTTGGAACAGAACTCATATGTGTCAGCACATGGCATCGATAATGTTCTGCTTGGTTTGACCTCTAACACCGCCCCCTCTTGCCTGACCTCCACCGGACTCTGAACACAGTGAAGCGACCCAACGAGTAATCAATCAGACTCACTCATATCAAGGTACACAAGTTCCAATTGCTGTAACAATGAGCTGTGCTGGGTTGTTAACTGTGTTTGCAGATGCCTTCTAACCCTAACATCACAAAATGACCTTTAAATTAAGCACTTCTTCAAGTTCAATCCAAATCTGGTGCAAATCATCCGAAATGTTATCCTACTATATATATGATAGGGGGCTTTCTGGGGCAACAACAGCAAGTATTTTTCTTGTCTATTGATATAACTCCAGCAGCATCCTCGAGCAAGTCTCTTTCTCTAACTTTCTCTGACATGTTTAAACAAGTGCAGATTGACTCATGAATCTGGAAGTTAAAGGAAGTTTGCATTTTGGGAAATATTCTTATTTGCTTTTATTTGGAAAGTTGATACCGCATTCATGACTGTAAGTGTGACTATAAGTGTGTATGGAGCTAAGGCCGGTTAGCTTAGCATAGATTGGACTCAGGCTGTTGCTTCATATTTGTCGCACAAAAATCTCATCTAATTCTCAACAAGAAAGGGAATAAGCATGTTTCCCAAAAAGGCAAACTTGTTTTGTGGTCTGTGAACTGGAATTCAAGCTATGGACAGCAGCCGTCACTTTACCCTCAAGCTAGATAGCTAACTAGCTCAAATGTGCAAGGTACCGCTCTGTCTAGCCACCTTGGGTGTGATCACTTTATAAAATATATTCTAAAACATGTTTTATTCCAAAATCTGGACATTTCTAGCCAATGTATAATGTGCCTTTTGGTACACACAACACTACTTGCTCCTCCTTACCTCATCTTGAGTGTGACAACACATCAAAAATGCTGCTTTATTGAAATGTAGAAATAACACCAGCCATTACACCCGCTATTGAAGGGCTCGTTTAAGGATTGATTACCTAAACAAACCTCTCTTGTGTTTTATGAAAAATGTACACGCTGCTGTTTACTCCACATAAAGGATAATCCATAGCATTGTTTACAACACACACTTTACACTCTTGGCCTCGGTTAAAAGGATCAAACAGAACAGCAGTACGACCACATCGCTGTAGGAGGACTCTTTCAGCTTTCAGGGTTTAAAAGAAAAGGTGTGTGAGAGTTAGCCCCACAGGAGGATCTGACTCAGGTCACAGAGAGTCCAGTCCCAAACAGTTTGACTTTAACTGGATGTCAGGTAGTCAGTTGCGCATTTATTTTAAAGGCTCTCCACGAGGGAAACACAGACCTTGTATCCGGAGAAGAATGCAGATTTATTTAGCTTAATATGAATTGCTCTCTGAGTGGCACTTACAGTATAAGCCCACCTTCAGTTTGTGTATAGCCCTTAGGAGGGCACATAAAAGGATCCAGCTCGAGATGAATTACTGAAGTCAAGTTGAATATCTGTTTATTTGGACCCTGCAATCATTCACCGGTGAACCTCCTTTTGAGTAAACACACAGCGGTGCAGTAAAGGCTGCCATAAAGAGACAAAGGATCTGTTGGGTTAGATTTTAGTCTGTTTTAATGTGGAAGGCCCTAGGCAACATTTCAAACTGAATAAATCACATAGAGAGCATCACTCAATCTCACGTTGTTTCATAACCATTTTTGTCAAGTGAAGATTGACATTTTTACAAAGATGCTTTTGGAAGTCTTCACCACCAACAATCATTTGTATATCAATTACTCACCCTGTGTCACCTTGAATTACATAACCTCTAACAGTCTTATGATTGTGCATGCATGCTACTCTTACCGTTTTTTGAATAGTAATGTTTACATTTTTATAAAAATGTGTTTTTCTTTACTTTTTCCTCAATAATTGAAGGAAATAGCGGTGAGTAATTTATATACAAATAGCCATTTTGTGGTATGAGTATTCCTTTAAGGTTCATTAAGTTTGCAGTAGTCTTTGTTGTTTTAGCCTTTGGTGTCTTAAGCCCACGACACTGGGAGACTTATGTATTGTGGGGGCTGTGGGGGCATCAATAACAGCCCAGTGTTTGTGCGGATGTAGTTGTTGTTTAAATAATTAGACAAGACAGGTCATTTTCATGTTTGTTATGAAATAGAAAAACATTGCTGCTCAGGCAAGACTATTTGTACTTTCGTCATTCTCTCCAAACAACAGCTCGAGCAGATGAGTGTACTTCACGTATGCGTATGTCATGAGCCATCAGAACAATGATGATATGTTTAGTATTAATAGCTGTACATGATGCTCTACCATCTGCTGAGCCACATCGGTACTATGTTGCCACCTGCTGGTGAAGATAAAGAACTGTATCTTAGTTCAAATAAATTGGGTTGTTGGTGATGATGTTAAAATATTAAGAAAAATGCTAACAGGAAACATGTGGCCCTACTAAAACAACAGGTAAGAAATAAAAAGAGTATACGGAATGTTTCAAGGAGCTTAAAAGGACAAATTACGATTTAAAGGCCCAGTTTACCCCATTGATGATTAGGCTAATGTGAGGAAGATTTCATAATGCATCAAAATGTAACATCATTTTCCAAATTGTGGGCATTTAGTCGTCATGGAGCTGTTGCTGCAGGCTAATTGAGACAGATGAGTCATGTTAATTCAACAGCTCCAACAGCTGCCTGTTTAATGGACTTCTTAAGTGCTGAGTTTATAAAAGCTGAAACTTTGTTTACAGCATCACTGGCAAACGCTTGGCCTGTTGTCATGCAGCCAAAAGCTAAAATGTTATGTTAAACTGATGTTGGAATTAACTTTTTCTGCTTTTTCATTGCTCACTATACCCAATACCACCTCTGCATTCACTCACACTCTCAACTACATCACCCACATGTCCCCCCCTCCTCCCCTTACCCACCCAGACTCGGACAGCCAGTGCAGCCCGACCCGCCACAGCCTCAGCCTATCAGACGGCTCCGAGGATCAGCTGGACCGCCTGCAGCAAGTGGAGCTGGCCCGCTCCTCGCCCATGTCCCAGTGGAGGGCAGGTACTGTGCAGGCCTGGCTGGAGGTTGTAATGGCGATGCCCATGTACATCCGCACCTGCTCAGAAAATGTCAAAAGTGGAAAGGTAAACTAGTGCCATGATGCAGGTGGACTCACCATGTATTTTAAGTGCATTTTTATGCACAATTGCAAATGTGTAGGTGACAGAGCTGTCATATTCAAATATCCAGCTGGCATATGTTGATTTGTTGCAGTAAACTGAATAACTTTCTGCAGGTTTTACTTGGGCTAACAGATGAGGACCTGGAGCTGGGTTTGGCTGTCAGCAGTGTGATGCATCGCAGGAAACTACGCCTAGCCATCGAGGATTACAGAGATGCTGAGAACGGTAGAGGGTAAGGAAGAGAAACTGAGGATTTGTATAAACTTGTAGGTGATGTGTCAATAGGGCCATCTGTTGGTGATGTACAATAACAACATTTAGAAAATGCAGTAGGGATTTAGAGGGATAACTCTCAGAAGTCATAATATTGATATTAAATAGAGATTTTAATCTTTAGAGATGAGGCTCCAATAAATGCAACAGTCTCACCGTCTTGAACAAATGTTCTGAAAGTGTTGTTGTTTCAGATCAATTATGGGAGGGGTCATAAACATTAAACTCTTTAATATGTGAATGTGTCTTGGTGATCTGTCATTTATTGACAGTAATGTTAACTAACTAACTTAATTTGAATGTTAGTATTATTCTTATTTTTTTTAATTGATCTATTAATCTTTTTTCTTTTTTTTTCATTTATAAAATAAACAGACATTGCTCCAGATAACAAACCGTACATCAAAACATGTAACAACAAACAACTAAACAAAACGTAACGGGGGAGGGGGTGGTGGATGCAAGGATGACTTCCTAAGACAGCTGATTGTGACATACACAGGACATTACATATACATTACACAGGAGATGCCATATTGACAGGGTTAGATAGGAGAGCTGCGGACAGTGAACCGCAATCCTCCTGTCTCCCCTCAAAATCCCCCAGCAGAGAAGCTGCACGCTCCATGTTCAGTAGGTCCAGATACTCCCTCAGCCATGAGTCCCTAGTAAAGCAGGCTGGTTTGCGTTCCTTCCAGTTTAATAGGATGAGTCTTTTTGTGGCTAAACAGCCCAATGTCCAGAGCCGATCGGTAGTCCTTGCAAGATTGCCATCTGGCTTGAGACCCAGTTGACATGCAGTGGGACATGTAGGGACACACACACTCACACTCACACTCACACACTCACATATTACTTCTGACCAAGTTTTTTTTCCGCTGAGCAATCCCCAGAGCGGTGCAACAAATGTACCTCGCTTGCCACATTCATGCCAGCATAAGTCTCTGTGTTTATTGTCCATCTTGGATTTTGTAACAGGGGTGATGTAAGCTCTATTGAGAATTTTGAACTGTATGATCCTGAATCTTACACATTTAGAAGAGAACATAGCTGACCTCCAAATGAAGTTCCATTGCAAAGCAGACAGAGAAATATTCAAGGCATGCTCCCAGGACAGTTGGACAGGAGAATAGGTATTCGGGGCAGCCCTAGATAATAATTTATAAATGTTAGAGACCACACCTGATGATATGATTGCTTTCTTGAGGCGCTGGTCCTCTTCCA